ATAATAACAAATAAACACTAGTGGTTCACCGTTTCCAGCACCGATCAACTTTCGTTGATCCCTCGACTTTCGTCGGAATTTGAAACCACAAACTTACCTGACTTACCTCACTTACCTGATGCACCAGAGTTAGCCATATGCTGCCTTGAACCTGATGAAACTTGTCGTCAGTGACTCCTCAAAGGCCTCGTCGCTTTATTCTGCCACCGATCCTGCTCATACATACCTGAAACATTCGCTAAATGTGTTAGAACGTTCACACCGATAAGACTCGAACCGAAGTCCGAACACGTGTCGCCTGACCGCGAGCGCTACCCTCGGTTGTATGACTCCCTAGACCATCTAACTAACCCTTCCTGGTAAAGTCCGAGACTTCACCTGCTAGCAACCCGAGGATTATACCCGACGTCTACTCGTCTCCTAAATCTATCCCGACTTCCCCCGAGACTAATCTGAGTCATACTACGGAACCCGCTAGATAACTAACACATTGAACGGTTCGTCTATATTTTGAAGGCTCCCCTTAAATTATATCTCACGTTCTCTCAATTGACTTTCACATGTATTTCTCATATATGTATCACTCACCAACTTGCACACTTTGTTCTCAATTAGCGATAATCTCGACAGGTTTTGTTGTTGCATTGTCTTCTCCATTAATAGGTCTCTCCGCCTGATTCTTCAATTAAACTCTGAATATGCATCTTGTTTTTGCTCTGATATGTATGTGATATCTTTTTTCTTTAAGTTATATATAATCTCTGATTGTGATCATCCTTTCCTCTCAAATTTGTTCCATTTTTTCTTTTATCTGCTCGAACCTTCTATATGCAAAGAAATTGCAATTCATAGTATTTATCAAACAAGTACTTGGTACACATAATATCATACTTAATTCAAACAACAAGTCATCAACCATCACAAGACGAAAAAAAAATATATCACATAGAAAACACACAAAAAAATAGTCAAGTCTAATTAGTATTTAGATTAATCACATGCGATTAGAAATTTACTAATTTGGCTTTTAAAGATTCAAATCTAATAAACATGTATATCATGATGTATAATATATATGAATGAATCCAAATATCCAGACCTAATTGTAATTGTTCATTGATATAGATAAAGAGTTGAATATATGAAGGGTATAAATGGTTGGAGTTTTTAGATTCAAAAAAAAAATAACCAATGAAGTTTTTATAAATTTGTGTTTTCTATAAAAACTTAAAAAGTCACTTTAATGAAAAATCAAGTAAAAACTAAAAATCTCTATTTTTTTGAATTTACAAAAAAAAAAAACAAAAATCAAAATCCAAAAATTAAAACCAGAAACCAAAAACAAAAAATTAAAACCAAAAAATTAAAATAAAAATTATTAATATTGAAAACCGAAGTTTTCGGAATTTTTATAATTCAACAACCAGAAAATTTGACAATCAAGGTTTTGTAGATTTAGGGTTTGAATGGATAAAATTTTTGGAAGAAAAAAATTGGTAATCAAGATTTTGTAAATTTGAATGATAGTGGTTTTTATTTAGAATTTTTGGTTTTTGGATTTTGATTTTTGGATCTTATAAACACAAAAATTGAGTTTTTTAGTTTTAGTTGATTTTTTTATCAAATGTTCTTTCTAAATTTTTAGGAAAACTAATTTTAAAAATTCCAGAAAAACCTATTGCATTTCAAATCCTTAATTTTTCTAAAAACACATAAAACTATTTTAGTGGAAAAATCAATTTAAAACCAAAAACGCTATTTTTTTAGGATTTACAAATATCATAGAAACCGGAAACTGAAAATCGAAACTAAAATCCAAAACTAGAAACTAAAATAATAAACTTAATATAAAAACTATCATCATTTATGTCATTAGTTTTTCTAAAAACTACTTTAGTAAAAAAAAAATAACTAAAAATAAAAATTGTATTTTTTAGATTTTAAAAACTACAAAAACCAAAATATAAAAACCAAGATATTGAAACCGAAAAATTAAAATAAAAACTATCACCAAAATTAAATTTTTGTAATATCGTAAAAAGCAGCACGTTGTAAATATTGCTAAATAAAAAGTCAGGGTTTAGTGATTATTATATGTATTTTCACAATTCCGCCCACCCCCCTTATTTTATTAGAAACTCGAAATAAGCCCCATACTTATGTTCAGTTCTTTTCCTCCCCAGACGAGAAATTGTTAAGTTCCATCTCTCTCTATCACATCACATTAATGTCGTAAGCGGTAGACCCAATTATCCAATGTCACGTTAGTCCAACCCAATATATTAACGTTATTGATGTTTATTAATAAAAAGGGAAAAAATTGATAATTATCATTTATCTCTTCACTTATTTTTAAATTCGATTTTTTTTTTCAATTTTAGAGTTATTATATATATATATATATGTATATATATCATTTATCTCGATTCAATTTTTGTAAAAAAAATGAATTGATTTTCGATTTTTGTTAAGATTTTTTTTAAAATATTAATTTCCTTTATTTTAAAGTAATCACATGCGATTAGAAATTTTCTAATATGGCTTTTGAAAAGTCAAAGTCTAATTAGCATTTATATCATATGCGATGTAAATTATGTATGCATGAATTCGAATATTCAGACCTAATTGTAGGCTTGTAGCTGTTCATTGATATAAACAAGGTCAAATTTTTGTAACAATGTAGAAATCATCACGTTGTGAATATATATTTGTTTTATAACGAGAAGGTTCGTTGTGTCACTAATCCTTGACCCGCAGACAACTTTTAATGCAATTAAATTGCACCATTCTCCCGAAACGGCTGCTCGAATATGAAATCCTTTGGGACAAGTAACATTCTAACCATACTCTACAACTAGATAGAGCTTCCGTAAAAAAACAAAAAGTCAAGGTTTTAATAAAAAGCATTAAATAAAAGTCCGGTTTAATTAAGAAAAAATACATAATATAAAAAAATACTCTTTCCATTTGCCGTTTGTCTTTTTTACGTTTTTTTTTTAAAAGTTTTATATACCCTTTAGTAACACAAAGTTTGGCATATCATTAATAATTTAATGATAATAAAATTAGAAATAGTTTTGAAAAATTATCTATAATGGGAACTATTTAGTGATACAGTGGCTGCATATATTTTCTAACGACGTAGAAAGCAACGTTCTAAATGAATGAGTGCTGGAAAGGCTACAGTGGGCGAAATAACAGCAAATGCGATTAAAAAGCTAATATGTAAAATATGTTCGTTCCCTTCCTGTGTGTTCCACGTGGCGTTTGAATCTTCGGGCATCTATAAGCAGGGCCGTCTTTTGAGTGTTCAGAGGTCCCGTCCAAAATTTATATATATATATATATATATTGTTGGTTATAATTTTCAATCCAATTAACAGTTTATCAAAATTTATTTTGTTATTTTAATTCACATAAAATTAAAATAATAAATAAATAAGATTTTAACGATATTATTTTATACTATTTAATAAATAAATTTCAAATTTATTGGAAAATAAAAATAAAAATAGTAAAAAATAAGCCATATTATTTATCATAACAAAAATACAAAAATTACATCTTTTATTAGGATATTTTATTTATTGAAATACTCTTTTTTTAATTGGATATAACTTGTGATAGAATCGCACAAGTAAATACAAAATTCGTAATTCGTATCCACGATATAATTTGTGAATTGGATATGCAAAGTTTGAGTATTCGAAACTTGCATATAACCAAAGAATTCGATTATCAGACTGGGTTTGGATATCAAAGGATATGGGCCCAATACAAATTTATAACCTAAAATTCGATATCATAGTACTCTCAAAATCTTGAAGATTCAACATGTATTCCATCCTAATTAAAGATGAATATTTAAGTTTATGCATAAAATATGGAGAGAGAGAGAAATGGAATCGAGTAACGCCTAGTCGGAGAAAAAAATCTTGCCTAAATGCACAAATAATAACTACAAGACCAAATGGGATGGTAGCACAAAGTGCTTCCAATCAATCCAAATTCAAATTCTATTGGACCAAATATTTAAAAAAAAAACAAGTAATAACTACAAATAATAGTACTATAAACACATAAGAATTCATTCGTTTTTATAACTAAAAACCTCGTACTACCCAAAATTGGAGGTAATGAAAGAAGTCAAATTCATTCCCAATTCAAATTCGAATCTCTCAATTTTTTTCGAAAACACGGTGATTTTTTTAATTATCAGAAGAAAACTTCGTACTCTACTATATTTATATATACATCCAAAAAGCATGAAGAACAAATTTTGAGTCACACTTGATCTCAACATCTTAATATTTCTTTCTTTTTTTTCTTCCAAGTTTGTTTTTCAACTGATGAAGTGTTCGTTTCGCATCTCGGATTTTTGCATCTTAATGCACATGGCAGGCCCATTTCACTTGATGGTCTATGGGCCCTACTATAACTGAAATGGGCCTTAATATGGGCCTGTCAACAATATCTATATACAAATTATACACAAAAGGGAAATTGGTTGGTATAAGCAACCCCCCATATTATGGAGAATGAGATGAAAAATCTACTCGGCAACAAGCGACAAAAATTATTTTAAGGGCGAAGACTGAAGATATTTTCTCATCTCTTCCGTATTCCACAGATTTTTATTGTGTATTCAAATAAAGCCAAAAAGAGGGGGGGGGGGGGG